GGGTTTGTGTGTGTTGTTTCAACTTTCTTCATTCTCATTTCAAGATGTCATTTTTTTTTCTTCTTTAAATGTGAGATCATTCAGCGTCATTTTTTAATGCGGAGTTTTGCTAGTATTGCGTCAGCGGATTTATTGGAGGCAGACCAAGAAAACAACAAAACCACCCGTGGCATAAATAACATGGAGTAAACATTGGTCAAGCTATATTTCCTTCCTTCTTCTCCTTTGCCTGTTCCCATGTCATGGGGGGTGTGATAGACAAAACTCGTCCCAAAGCTAACCCTGCTCCTGACCTGTTGACCCCCCTACGCTCCGTTTTTAAGCCTGAGAGTGTGGCACCACGACGAGCGAACACAAAAACTTACCATGATTTCGGGAGTCATTTCGTTAGCCTGGTTTATTTTAATTCAAAAAAAAAAAAAATAAAATCAATAATAAACCGTTTGGATGTTTTCAGTCAAAAGTTAACACATGTTTTATGTGTGCTAACACCGTGATCAATCTCCTCAGGATAACAGTGATTGGGCTTTGTGGTCTCCATCTCAATGAACCAACCAGAATAGCTTTTAAAAAAAAATCTTTTGGAGAATACAATTTTGAGTGTTATTGCAAAAGAGCAACACCCCCCTCCCCCGCCCCAAACCTTACCGCTAATTGACCGAACTTCCCTTTGGTTCTTGAAACTATGTTATTTTAAACCTGAAAACTAATCTGACTCTAAGCCATGGGTAAACAGGTCTGTTGTTCTGATCTACATGACTGGCTCATTCCACCTCTTTTTTTTTGCCAGTCCTTTTGCCGAGTTCCTTTCCATATTATGTGCTCATTGGTTTTTCTATATATTTCTCTATCCTTCTCACACACTCTCTCTCTCTCTCTCTCTTTGCCCCTCTCGCTTTCTTTCTCTCTCTTTCCCTTCCTCTATCTTTATCTCTCTCTCTTGCTTTCTCTCTCTCTCTATCTCACTCATTTTCTTTCTCTCTCTCTCTCTCCTCTCTCTCTTTCTCTCTTCTCTCTCTCTCTCTCTCTCTCTATTTTCTTTGTCTGACTATCTCACTCATCCTCTCTCTCTCTCTCTTACTCGTTGAAGACCATGAAAGAGAGGGCCACGTTAAAATCCATTAAAAAAAAATTTAGAACCTTGATTAGGTGTCGCATTTGAAAGAGAGGGCCCCGTTAAAATCCATTAAAAAAAAAATTTAGAACCTTGATTAGGTGTCGCATTGACCCCCCCCCCACACACACACACTTTTAGCGTGACCCACCCCCCCCCCCTCACCACCAACCATTTAATTAAAAACATCCAATTTTTGTTTGATCCACTCGCTTCCTCCTCCGTTGACGTTATTTACGAGCGGCGCTGAAATGTTATCCTGCAACAAGTCCTTAATTCTTAGGTGAGGCATTACCTCGATTTACACTGATGGGAATTGATTTTTAAAACATAGGCTTTGCTTCATCGGAGGGTCTTCCACCACCTTTTATAAATTTATGAATTTGATTGTTTTTTTTTTGTTTTTTTAAATAAATTGTTGATTCTTCTAGACTTTGGTATCCTTGAATTCCTGTAGCCAAGCTGGGATGTAAGCCTATACGAGGTAAATACACCAGAGCCTTATCTGATAACTGTAATTACACCAACGCCTTATCTGGTAACTGGTAAATACACCAACACCTTATCTAATGAGAGGTAAGTACACCAACACCTTATCTGATAAGAGGTAAGTACACCAACACCTTATCTGATAAGAGGTAAGTACACCAACCCCTTATCTAATGAGAGGTAAGTACACAAAAACTTTATCTAATAAGAGGTAAGTACACCAACACCTTATCTAATGAGAGGTAAATACACCAACACCTTATCTAATAAGAGGTAAGTACACCGACACCTTATCTAATGAGAGGTAAGTACACCAACACCTTATCTAATAAGAGGTAAGTACACCAACACCTTATCTAATAAGAGGTAAGTACACCAAAACCTTATCTAATAAGAGGTAAGTACACCAACACCTTATCTAATAAAAGGTAAGTACACCAACACCTTATCTGATATCTGGTACATGCACCAGCACCTTATCTGATAAATGGTAAATACACACAAACCTTATCTGATAAATGGTAAATACACACAAACCTTATCTGATAAATGGTAAATACACCAGCACATTATCTGTTAACTGGTAAACACACCAGAACCATGGGTGATTAAGTGGTAAGAACACAAGCACTGCAGCCACAATCGGACGGATGCCACCTAACACCATTACACATTGCAGATTTCATTAAACTCAAGCTACAGCCATTTAAATATATTGTCGTCTCAGTTCAACTTCCTTTTATCATTCACGTATACATCAGCTTCTGTTACTTAAAAACAGAAATAAGATTTTTAAAAAAAAAGTCTCATGACGTTATAAATTAATGTACAAAAAAAGAAAAAAAAAAGTCTCATGACGTTATAAATTAATGTACAAAAAAAGAAAAAAAAAGTCTCATGACGTTATAAATTAATGTACAAAAAAAGAAAAAAAAGTCTCATGACGTTATAAATTAATGTACAAAAAAGAAAAAAAAAGTCTCATGACGTTAAAAATTAATGAACAAAAAAATTAAAAAAATAAAAAGTCTCATGACGTTATAAATTAATGTACAAAAAAAAAAAAAAAAAAGTCTCATGACGTTATAAATTAATGTACAAAAAAAGAAAAAAAAAGTCTCATGACGTTATAAATTAATGTACAAAAAAAAGAAAAAAAAAAGTCTCATGACGTTATAAATTAATGTACAAAAAAAGAAAAAAAAGTCTCATGACGTTATAAATTAATGTACAAAAAAGAAAAAAAGTCTCATGACGTTATAAATTAATGTACAAAAAAAGAAAAAAAAAAGTCTCATGACGTTATAAATTAATGTACAAAAAAATAATAATAAAAAAAAATAATACAAAATAATAATTCCCAAAAGCCCTGAGTTTTATTGTGGTTCAAGTCTTTTTATGACCGTCATAAAAGGTTTGCGTTTAAGATCTTCGTTCACTCTGCTTGACACATGGTGACACATGGGGAAACGTCTCTGTTTCAGACACGGGTGAAACATAAGAGCCTGTAGAATGAGGAAGTGCAACTAATATATTCCGAAATCGCTCTCATCGTGTACAACGGTGACTCTTCCATCAGATGTCATTTGCTACCTTCCGTGTCTAGAGATCACGTGGCCTGCCACACACACACACTACATTTTGTGGGTCTCTCCAGCTCCAAAGGAAGCGGGTGGAAAACATAAATTATTAGGAATTAAGCATCTGAAGGGAAACTAATTAGTATGAGAAGCTTTTGTGCTTCAGCCACGCAAAGAAAGAGACCGCTAGTTATGCGACACAGGAATCTAATGAAAGACACCGTACTATTGCACACAAATAAGTTTTTGTACACAAAACATAAATAGTTGGTATCATCGAAGTTAAAAGTCCAACACGAACAAGTGGTAAAATAAAAAAAGTAAAAAAATACTGGTGTTATTCAAGAATCAGAGCAAAGCTAGTGGCTTTTTAAAAAAAAAAACCCTTCATATTGACTTCGCTTTGTTCGTGTGTTTCTGTGCTTAAGGAAACATGTTCGGACGTTCTTAAGGTACCCACCTAATGTTACCGACTGAAACTTGGCACATAGACTCTACTCGACGACGACGACAATTTAACCTGTCTCATTCTAAGCTCAACCCCAAACCCACGAAAATACGTTTTCCTGGTTTTTTTTTGAAGGAGAAGATGAATGTAATATGATTTGTTTTTTTCAATGATTGCGCGTTTTGGTTTGGAGGTTAATTGTGAAGCTGTTGCTATGTGCTGTGCATCTCTGACCTATTTTGGGGAATAATGTAAATAATAAAATGTATTTTTGAAGGAGAAAATGAAGGCATTAGGAAACGTGTTTTTTGCCTGCAGTTTACCCATATACATAACCGCGTATTAATTAAATATGAATCGCGTATAAGTACACAAATGAAAAAAAGAAAGAAAAAAAAAAAAAAAAAAAAAATTCACAGAAATGATCGATAGGAAAAACTGAGTTTTTGGTGGTACTTTTAAATATAAATAATATAAATATTATTATCTATCTTTGGATCGTTCTTCAGATTTTTTTCAAGATAAGCTGAAACGAGTAATAACTTTTAATGTTCAATTGTATATTAATGATTAAATCCAGTTCAAGTTAAGAAAACCATTTTATTTATAATAAGCAGAGACAAAAATTTATGAACTTAAGCATTTCTATAAACATAAATAATTTAACAATAACTTATTTTTGTTTAAATAACAAATAAAGCGATGAATTATTCACTGTCGACGATCAAACACAAAGTCTCGGTCTCTTACCAGCGGCACGCGCAGCTTGACTGCGCAGATGCCCGTGATGAACACATCGTCCAGCCAGAGTGGCTTGAGCCTGAGAGCCGCCTGGTACAGCAAGGACACAGTACTCATCGGATAGCCGACTAATCCGCCGACGGCGAAGGGCGGATACGTGGGCTCGGGGTACTCGTCCTCGGAGACTGAGTACTTCAAATACTGAACATTCTCTTTGCGCACGGGCTTCCAACCTTCTTTGATGTCACCGATGACGAAATCAAAATACTGCCGGCTCTTCGCCTCCATGACGGGTAGTATTTTCGGGATATTCGCAGTAACGTCGTCATCAATCCGGATGACAAATCTCGCTTCCCTGCAGAACGTGACGGCCCACTTCAACATAGACACGCCCTTGAGACGAACGTTTTTCAAAACGTCTTCGAAATTTACTTGCACTGTGTCCCGATGTAAGCGAAACTCGTCGGCGATTTTCGATTGGATCTTCACAGAGTCTTTTCCGCACGGGGGCCTCCCCATAAAGAATAAGAGCTTCGCGTTGTTGGCCGGCTCGCGGACGTATTCACCCACGCTGCCCGTTCTGACGTGTATCCGCCTCTGGAAGTTTTCCGGGTCGGAGGCCACGACGATTAAGACTTGAGTTTTGCTCGCGGCGCACGCATCACCCGGGTTTCGTATGTCTGCAAAGTTGTAGTTGTAGATGATTGGTTCAGACAACAGATGCACCTGAACCGTCTTGGCCTCCAGTTCCGCCTTGAGCATTTCGGTTGCCATGGTTTCATTAGCACTTAACCGCGCGTCTACACTTTCGCCCTCCTGTGATGCGATTCCAGCCACTTCCGGCTTCCGTTCATTCGATTGATTAGGGTCATCGTGCATATCACGGCCATCTTTTCTATTCCGTCCATCCTGTATAACAGGTTGATCCTGAAAATTAAGGTCATCCTTTACATTGCCGTCAACCTTTGTATTCCGATCAACCTGTTTATTACTGTCATCAAGTCCCGTGTCTTGTGTTTTAATATTTAGGTCATGTTCCGAATCCATACCATCTGTACTGACTTTTGGAGCAATCCTTCTCAACCTCTCGGTCATGTTTCCACGTTGGTCATAGAGGACTCCGATTTCTCCTGTTTTGCTTTTTAGTATAATATGCCGGACATTGTGACCGTTATGGTCTTCAGCATGTCGGTCTGGCCAGAAATTGCTGAAAGCGAGGGCAAATCCAGCAAGGGACAGAACCACACCGCCTAGAATTATACTTTTGAGTGCTCTTTTCCTGAAAAAAAAAAGTTTTATAGATGTATTGAAATTTTAACGTTGAAATTAACTTATTATTCCCTAAACCTTAAGTCATTGAATGAAGCAAGTGGAGCGTGGAAATAAGAAACTTTGAAATAGCGATGTCCAAAGCATATGCCTTACCTTGCCCGGGCAAGTAGTAATTTTCATTAAAAAAACACCGACCGAACCTGCCAATAGCACAACATTTGCTTCGATACCTTGTGTTTTTCGTTATTTCCAGGTTTCATTGTATTACATTAGTTTAAGTAAGGAGAAAATGTCTTACTTGATTTAATGATCTCTTCTGAATGTAATGTAATTTCTCGAAAGAGAAGGCTCCATTAGCTATTGTAAGGGGAATATAATGCAAATATGTCCTGTTTGCTACTAGAGATACAGCATAGAAAAGAAGAGTGATAAATATCACAGTTATCAGTAGACAATAACATAAAAAAATAAAATAAAAAATAAATTTAAAAAAACAGCCAATTTTAAATGGGGCAAATATTCGATAAACACACGGGCTAAATCGTTACTCGGGTGTTTATCATCACTTCGTGTGTGTGGTATCAGCCATACATGATTACGCAATGTTCCTTGGATAAGATACACTCCCTCGTACGTCTTTTACAGCGACAGGTCAATCGCACACCAAAAGCCCTGCAAATGCTAACATTCTTTGAGCCAGTGCCAGTGGTTGGGTGTGACTGACCATAGATGCCACACTGGTCATATGTTCTGAGTTCTCCCCCCCCCAATTCTTTGAGCCAGTGCCAGCGGTTGGGTGTGACTGACCATAGATGCCACACTGGTCATATGTTCTGAGTTCTCTCCCCCCCCCCCCATTCTTTGAGCCAGTGCCAGCGGTTGGGTGTGACTGACCATAGATGCCACACTGGTCATATGTTCTGAGTTCTCTCCCCCCCCCCCCCATTCTTTGAGCCAGTGCCAGCGGTTGGGTGTGACTGACCATAGATGCCACACTGGTCATATGTTCTGAGTTCTCTCCCCCCCCCCCCCATTCTTTGAGCCAGTGCCAGCGGTTGGGTGTGACTGACCATAGATGCCACACTGGTCATATGTTCTGAGTTCTCTCCCCCCCCCCCCCATTCTTTGAGCCAGTGCCAGCGGTTGGGTGTGACTGACCATAGATGCCACACTGGTCATATGTTCTGAGTTCTCTCCCCCCCCCCCCCATTCTTTGAGCCAGTGCCAGCGGTTGGGTGTGACTGACCATAGATGCCACACTGGTCATATGTTCTGAGTTCTCTCCCCCCCCCCCCCATTCTTTGAGCCAGTGCCAGCGGTTGGGTGTGACTGACCATAGATGCCACACTGGTCATATGTTCTGAGTTCTCTCCCCCCCCCCCCCATTCTTTGAGCCAGTGCCAGCGGTTGGGTGTGACTGACCATAGATGCCACACTGGTCATATGTTCTGAGTTCTCTCCCCCCCCCCCCATTCTTTGAGCCAGTGCCAGCGGTTGGGTGTGACTGACCATAGATGCCACACTGGTCATATGTTCTGAGTTCTCTCCCCCCCCCCCCATTCTTTGAGCCAGTGCCAGCGGTTGGGTGTGACTGACCATAGATGCCACACTGGTCATATGTTCTGAGTTCTCTCCCCCCCCCCCCCATTCTTTGAGCCAGTGCCAGCGGTTGGGTGTGACTGACCATAGATGCCACACTGGTCATATGTTCTGAGTTCTCCCCCCCTCCCCCCCCCCAATCCTCAGCCACTATTTTTCCAGTCTTACATGGACAGTAAGCCTCAGGAATATATTCTCTGGCCCTGCGCCAGAGAGCATTTTCATGGTGTGAAGTAACAATGAAAAAGGGGGGGGGGTGGGTTTAGTCTAATCAGGTCTCAACGTGAGGCTCCACTTTGTGTTTGTATCGGTGTCCGTCCGTCACTATGTGACGATGGTGCGGACTTCTCCGGGAGAAATGAAAAAGGCCTGGGACTATTCTTTTTAGGATTATAAGCTGATTCCTTACACGCGCAACTCGCCTCTCTCCACGCCGCTGGATAACCCAAAAAGAACATAATGTGGATAACACAGCTTTTCACCAGTGGCGTCGCAGGAGTTTTCGGCTTATTTCATTGTGTTTACGGGACTCCATTTCCGGGTTTGAATGTGCCAGTCTTACATAAAAAGTAAGACTCGGGATATTCTCTGACTGCGTCAGAGTGCATTTCTTGTAGCGTGACGCAACAAAGTGGGGTGTGGGGGGGGGGGCTTTTAAAATATCAGCTCTCAGCGTGAGTCTCCACTGTAGCCCGAGAATAATCGGTCTGTTATTTATGAGATCTGAGGTTCCAGACGTTANGGATATTCTCTGACTGCGTCAGAGTGCATTTCTTGTAGCGTGACGCAACAAAGTGGGGTGTGGGGGGGGGGGCTTTTAAAATATCAGCTCTCAGCGGGAGTTTCCACTGTAGCCCAAGAATAATCGGTCTGTTATTTATGAGATCTGAGGTTCCAGACGTTATTCTCGCGTCACTGATAGTATCCCGTATTCAACAGATTTTAAAAGCAAACAATGATCGTAATTATACCGTGTACCACACGGCCAAACACTTGCCTAAGCCTAATACCGACCGCAACGCCTCTGTTCTCTAGCCTAACCACTACCCTACCACCCAACTCCCAGATCTAACCCAAAGCCTACTTCCAAACCTAACCACTACCCTACCACCCAACTTCTCAACCTAACCCCAAGTCTACTTCTCAACCTAACCACTACCCTACCACCCAGCTCCCCAACCTAACCCGAAGCCTACTTCCAACCTAACCACTACCATACCACCCAGCTCCCGAACCTAACCCGAAGCCTACTTCCAACCTAACCACTACCCTACCAACCAGCTCCCCAACCTAACCCGAAGCCTACTTCCAACCTAACCACTACCCTACCAACCAGCTCCCCAACCTAAACCAAAGCCTACTTCCAACCTAACCACTACCATACCAACCAGCTCTCCAACCTAACCCAAAGCCTACTTCCAACCTAACCACTACCCTACCAACCAACTCCCCAACCTAACCCAAAGCCTACTTCCCAACCTAACCACTACCCTACCAACCAGCTCCCCAACCTAACCCGAAGCCTACTTCCAACCTAACCACTACCCTACCACCCAACTCCCCAACCTAACCCAAAGCCTACTTCCCAACCTAACCACTACCCTACCAACCAGCTCCCCAACCTAAACCAAAGCCTACTTCCAACCTAACCACTACCTTACCAACCAGCTCCCCAACCTAACCCAAAGCCTACTTCCAACCTAACAACTACCCTACCACCCAGCTCCCCAACCTAACCCAAAGCCTACTTTCAACCTAACCACTACCTTACCACCCAGCAACATTCACTTTCGTTTAGCTTACATTTAATTTTGCACCAATCAGCCTAGTCAGTTTTATATCAATATTTGTTTAATTCAAATAAAATGTACCAGCAATAATGTAAACAGATGTACTCGTTCGATACACGCACTTTTGAGTTCTCCCCCATGGGGTGGGCAAGACATTATAGATAAGGAGGAGTTAACACTCTTGATAACACCTGGACCAGGTTCCTTTTTCCGGGTCCGGGTATGTTCCGGGTGAGCTAATACTCGGCTTTTCCGGGTATCCCGGTCAGCACAGCCTTAATTTCAACCCCGAAAGTGCATTGGTCTGTAGATCCTTATGCAGACGCCCTCGGTGTCACTGCACACACTTACTTCCTACTACACATCTTACTCTCCTTCACAATGACTAAGTGCTCCACACATATGCATTATACGTAACATATTAATTATACATAACATATTGATTTGACATAAAATATTCATTATGCATAGCAGGTTCATTCTACATAACATATTAATCATACATAGCATGTTCAATTTACATAACATAGTTATACATAAAATATTCATTCTCCATAAAATATTCAATATACATAAGATACTCGTTATACATAACAAATTCATTATAAATATCATACTCATTACAAAAAACATACTCATTCTACTTTACATAGTCATTATATATAACATACTCATCATACATAACATAATCAGTACACATAACATACTAATTATACATAACATAATCATTATATATACCATAATCCTTATATATAACATACTCATTATACATAACATATTCATCATACATAAAATATTCATTATCCATAACATATTCAATATACATAACATAATCATTATACATAACATATTCCTTAGACATAACATAATCATTATGCATAACATACTTATTATACAAAACATACTCACTATACATAACATATTCATTTTACATAACATACTCAATATGCATAAAATGCTTATTAAACATAACATAATCATTATTAATCACATATCACTATACATAACATATTCCTTATACATAATATACTCTTTATACATAACATACTCAATATACATAAAATGTTAATTAAACATAACATAACCATTATACATAACATAATCATTGTACAGAGATCCATTCAAATGGGTTGCTACATTAAATTCACTAAAAAAAACTACTTATTTACAAATCACCAATCTCATAAAAATTGTGCTCTTACCAGCGTTGTATTCTTATCCTGAAAATGTTGTATGTTTTCATTGTTGTAGTCACAATTTCTTGCAAACGAACACAGATACCCCACCGAACTTAAATTTCTGTTGATCAAAATCCCAAAGAAATGAATTTTTTTGTTACCATACTTCATATCACGTTTTGGTGTCACGTCTGTTACACATGTTCCTTTGACGCGACGTCATGGGAGGGGGGGGGGGTGAATACTCTCTTAGACCTGGCCAGGTGATAAGTGGGTCACGAGGCTTACCCTGCAAAAAAATAAAAAAAAAATTTTTAAAAAATAAATGTTATTCCTCTGCTATTAAGCAATCTAATAGCATTTTTTTTTTTTTTTGGGAGTTTTTTTTCCTTAAATTTTACTTTTAATCATCATGGTACAAGAAACACATTTAAAAAAAAATAATTTTCCAGTACTTATTTATGACAAAAAGTAGATTAAAAAAATAATACTTTTAAGAAATTATTGAATCCATTTTCATTGGAAATTTATTTTACTGCATATTCCCCCCCCCCCCTTTTTTAAAATGTGTTTCAGTGTGTGTGTGTGTGTGTGTGTGTTTAAAGGTTTATTTCGTTTTTGATATCTCTGCAAAGTTTCTAGCCTCGTATAGTATTGATATCGGAGAGTAGTATATAAGAGTTCATTGGGAATATATAGTACTTGGTGCCTTGTGTTTAAATTGGAAGTAAATTTGAATTCTAGCCGTTTTTTTTACTACTATGCTTGTTTTTTTTAATATGTTGGTAATATAATCTATATTTTTAAATATGTATGTGTTAATAGATATTTAACCGTTTAGTGAAAATGGAAAATAGAGCAACAAGGACAAACTTTAGTCATTGGGAAATTGAAGTCGTTGGGATATTGCAGTCATTGGGAAATTAAAGTCGTTGGGAAAGTGTAGTCATTGGGAAATTGCAGTCATTGGGAAATTAAAGTCGTTGGGAATTTTGTCATTGGAGCGTCAGAATCATTGGGGAGTATAGTCAATGCGGAATCATTGTCAGCGGACAATAATTATCAGCCGACTATGGTTCTCAGCGTGCTAGGGATGTCAGCGTGCTAGGGATGTCAGCGTGCTATGGATGTCAGCGTGCTATGGATGTCAGCGGGCTATGGATGTCAGCGTGCTATGGATGTCAGCGTGCTACGGATTTCAAAGGGCTATGGTTGTATTTGGACTATTGTAGCAAGTAGCAAGACAGATCGCTTGTTATCATCTTGGGTATATCACCTTTGTGGTTTTGTTTCCACATTAGGTTTTTACCACATAACAGTGTCATGTTTACCACATAACAGTGAAATGTTTACCACATAACAGTGAAATGTTTACCACATAACAGTGAAATGTTTACCACATAACAGTGAAATGTTTACCACATAACAGTGAAATATTTACCACATAACAGTGAAATGTTTACCACATAACAGTGAAATGTTTACAACATAACAGTGAAATGTTTACCACATAACAGTGAAATGTTTACCACATAACAGTGAAATGTTTACCACATAACAGTGAAATGTTTACCACATAACAGTGAAATGTTTACCACATAACAGTGAAATGTTTACCACATAACAGTGAAATGTTTACCACATAACAGTGAAATTTTTACCACATAACAGTGAAATGTTTACCACATAACAGTGAAATGTTTACAACAAACAGTGAAATGTTTACCACATAACAGTGAAATTTTTACCACATAACAGTGAAATGTTTACCACATAACAGTGAAATGTTTACCACATAACAGTGAAATGTTTACCACATAACAGTGAAATGTTTACCACATAACAGTGAAATATTTACCACATAACAGTGAAATGTTTACCACATAACAGTGAAATGTTTACCACATAACAGTGAAATGTTTACCACATAACAGTGAAATGTTTACCACATAACAGTGAAATGTTTACCACATAACAGTATCATGTTTACCACATTACAGTGAAATATTTACCACATAACAGTGAAATGTTTACCACATAACAGTGAAATGTTTAACACATAACAGTGAAATGTTTACCACATAATAGTGAAATGTTTACCACATAATAGTGAAATGTTTACCACATAACAGTGAAATGTTTACCACATAACAGTGAAATGTTTACCACATAACAGTGAAATATTTACCACATAACTGTGCCATGTTCCCCAAGGAGGATTCGTTAAATTACTGCGTCATTTTATCGCAGAGGATTTGTTAAATAAAGGTGTCATTTCACCAACATGGATATGTTGAATAATAGTGTCATTTTTTACAATAGTGTATTTAAAAAAAAATGGGTCAATTTACAATAGTGGATTTGTTAAATAAATGTATCATTTTGCAATGGTGGATTTGTTAAAGAATAGTTTCATTTTACAATGGTGGCTTTGTTAAAGAATAGTTTCATTTTACAATGGTGGCTTTGTTAAAGAATAGTTTCATTTTACAATTGTGGCTTTGTTAAAGAATAGTTTCATTTTACAATGGTGTATTTGATAAAGAATGGTTTCATTTTGCAATGTTGGCTTTGTTAAATAATAGTTTCATTTTAGATTGGTGGCTTTGTTAAAGAATAGTTTCATTTTGCAATGGTGGCTTTGTTAAAGAATAGTTTCATTTTACAATGGAGGCTTTGTTAAAGAATAGTTTCATTTTGCTATGGTGGCTTTGTTAAAGAATAGTTTCATTTTACAATGGTGGCTTTGTTAAAGAATAGTTTCATTTTACAATGGTGGCTTTGTTGAAAGAATAGTTTCATTTTAGCCACGGTAGGTTTGTTGCTATAGCGTTTTAAAACAATGGTGGGCTGCGTAGCGCTAGAATATATGACCCGATGTTGTCGGGATAACAATGGTGGACACTTTGCGACAATGTCTACCTGGTATTTCAAAAACTCATCACAATTTTTATTTAAAAAAAATAATTAAAGAAAAGGATCTATTTAATGGTGTTGACGTTCCTAAAATCTTTAAAAGTTTTAAAAATTATTTTTCAGCTACATATTATGCTTGTACCAAACCCCTTTTTGAGCCCCTAAACTAAATTTTTTTTTTCTTCTTTAAAACTTGACATTACATTACCAAATCTAAATTATTATTATAGCATTATAGTCACCAAAGGAGTTCATTGATTGATTATTCTTACGCTAGAGAAATACTTAAGATGTTTTGTGTTTTTAAATTGTTAAATGGTATGCCTGTCCCACCCCTTTCATGCTCCTTGAACTACAATTTTTTTATCTCTAAATATTGTGAAAACATAATCTTAAATTTATAACCAAAAAAAAAATAATAATAATAATAAAATTAAAAAAATAATTACTAAAAAACACTCTGTCTATAAAAATGTTAAAATATATTTAATATTAAAGGAATTTGATGCATTGGTCACTTCATTAAAAAATGAAACCAACTTCTAAAATTGATTTTCAACAATATTGTCGGAAAATAATAAAAACAACGCATTCTTTAATCTAAAAAAAATAATGTCTTAAGTGTTATTTACGCCTATAACAGCCCTGAGTATTTTTTTTTTTAAAGGAATGTTATTATTCTCAGAAAAAATATACACCGACTTTACCGTTCGCAAAGTAATAACAAGAATATACTTTCATTCATTGAAAGAAAATCTTAACATTGTTTTGTTTATGTCCACGAAATTTAAAAAAATAATAATAATAAAATTATGACTCTATTCTTAAGATTAAATTTTCACAAGTGTAAAGTGATTGAATTTGATATTCATGGGCACAACTTTTGTAAATGTACCCATGCTTTGTCAACGCCATTGATTTTCTTAATGGGTAAACACATGGTTATTTGAAAATCAAGAGTGTAAAGCCTCCTTCATGACTTTAATGTCATTGGATTTAAAGATATTTTCATCCACCTAAAAAGGTACACACCCTATTTCATACCCCCGATATATCTGTACCTAAGAATATGAATTATTGATCAAATTCATTCCTTTCATTCTGAGGGAATATCTTGTGCCGCCTGGGGGAAAAAAAAAAGTAACGACCTTCCTACTCCCCTCCCCCCCGAATTAAAAAAAAAAATATTCCACGTGATTTGTAGCCCTTCTACGTACGCGAACACAAATTTTTTGCCGGTCCCCGGATTCAATTAAAATTCTTAAGTCTGTCACAAATGACTGGGGCCAGGTTTAACAACAGAGCTCCATTGTTCTTCAGATAAGTTATGGAGTGGACGGAAATTGCTGTGATTTTGGGGAGGGAATTGATAGGCGCAAGGGCTAAGGTTAATAGATCCTCGTATCTTTGAGATTAGAGGGGGGGGGGCGGGTCTGTTTCTTTCCAAAATATTATGTCTTGGGTCTTCCTCACTTCGCATGATAATTTTTGTGTTAACGACCGAAGTTCCCAATAGACCAGACATGAGGGTTTGCTATGGGCTCATAACCAGCATTTCCTGGACCAACTAGAGAGGTAGAGAATTTGTATATTTTATAGAACTCTTCATCACATAGCAATGGTCTAGTGAGCCACTCGTCGAAGTGTAGACGTGGGACGACACAGCTACTCCATCGTCCCGCTAAGACGTTGAGTATGACATATATCGTGACATGGTAGAGTTAGAGAGTCGTGGACGGTCATGACGCAGTGGTATTAGACGTAGTCAAGGATAGAACCGGTGAAAGGCCGATAGCTATAACGTGTTAGAGAAAGAAGCTTTACTGAATTTCTTAAAATTATATTCATCAATACATCTTTTTATCGATGATACGTTACTGAGGATTTGCCTGATCCTTCGTTAGTGTTCCCGTGTTTTCTTCGTTGTACTTCTCAACGCCTGGACCAGTGAACCATGACAGACTGGAACGGCCCCGTACCGGTCACTGCAACACCAATACCACTTGGTATAAGTACTGGCCATACCTCTCAATACCACTTGGTGCGTGACCATGAGTAAGGGCCATACCTCTTAATACCACTTGGTGCTTGACCATAAGTATTGGCCATAACTCTCAATACCACTTGGTGCGTAACCATAAGTACGGGCCATACCTCTCAATGCCACTTGGTGCTTGACCATAAGTACGGGCCATACCTCTCAAAACCATCCCATGTGTCACAAAGTCCCAGATCCCCTTCACCACACATTGTTTTATATATTTTCGACTATATGTAGTGAGATTTGAACTTTGGCACAGACG